ATCCGACTGTTTCTCTCCTCTTGTCTCGTCTCTGTGTGTGTGTGTTTGAATCTATCGTGCTGACTGCACTGATTTGATTGGCTGAGTAGCGTCACCTCCTTAAAACATTAAACAATAACTTTTTAAAACCTTTTTTATGTTTTAAACATATTGTATAAAACTCCCCCACTACTTGGACTATTCCTTGCACCCCTCTAGAATAAGCCCGAATGGTCTCAACCATATTGCATCAGTAACGTGCACTTGTTATTATAACAAGATCGCAAGGACGCTGGTAGCGATCGGAAAATTGAGTGTTGTTCAGTTTGTGTGTTGTGGAACATGCATGTCCGTGCATGAAAATATACCACACACCCAATTACAATTGCATGTTCAATTCACTACCCTGGAAGTTAATACAGTTGTTAAAGTTGGAACAGCCTGTGGACAGCCGTTCTTCCTTGCATGTCAGTCGCTGACACCTTCTTACAGAGGACAGGCACATCTAGCTGCAGCACGACCCGTATATTTCCGCACGCCGTGTTCTCAGACATATTTTTTTTAACATTTTCAACATGGTGGATAAATACTTATATGCTCCCGGCAACACACTGAACGTCAACTTTGCCTCCTTATTACACTCACCCCTACTTTAGTGGGAACAATGAGTCTGCGTCTTTGATGCACACAGGAATAAACGCAGATCATACTCTGGCTGCAGCCTTTACCGGTACTTGCTTTTGATCAAAGTCAATGCGGAAAACCCTTCACAAACACAGGTAGGTGGAGGTGAAGGGAATGAGCACTTTTACAGCCTTTTTGGCGAGGTGGGGGAACTCGGTCTCCACAGACAGCCACAAGTGGGCAAGTGTCACTTTACTCGTCTTTTTCTCGTTCTTTTGTGTCTCACGCTGCGCCTCCCCTGAAGCTCTCTGGCGCCCCCCAGGGGAGGCGCGCCTCACACTTTGAAAACCGCTCTTCTAGTCCAAAGGTCATATTTACCTTTCCGTTGAAAAACTCTTCCAAATAATCAAAAGTAGCGTTAAATCTGACCTACAGAGAACATTGGCGTTGTCTTAATTATGTTGATCAAACCCAACCCAAGCAATGACAACTTTTGGATTAGTTGTGCTTATATATATATGGCTGCTAACAACACACTGGATAATATTAACAAAGTATTTGACCAACTTTCTCTGATGACATATTTTCATTATCACTCTCTCTTCAGAGCCATTGTGTTTGTAGTGGACAGCGCTATCTTCCAAAAAGAAGTGAGAGACGTGGCAGAGTTCCTGTACATCTTGTTAACGGACAATGTGATCTCCAGGAACGCTCCAGCTCTCGTGGTGGCATGCAACAAACAAGGTTCAACCACACAATTGCTGTAAAAAATACCCAATTATCTACACTTTACAATCCTTTTGTTCTGCATTTTGAGCCTACACTATGAAGTTTATTATTTACTGTTTGGCAGCAGAATTTACTGGTCTCCTTATTTTACAGATATCACCATGGCAAAATCAGCTAAACTGATCCAGCAGCAGCTGGAAAAGGAAATGTAAGTAGCTCATGTATTTGGCCATTTACTGTGTCTGATTCCAGGGTTCCTAATCAATGTGGAAACGTTTGGATTTTAACTTATTTAACTGAAAAAAGGATTAAGGGACATTAATCACAGTTGACTATTGACCATATCCTGCAGGCTATTCTAAAATCTAAAATTCAGAATTAAAAAAAATGTAATTAAACATTTGTTTGTGTGTATAGCAACGCTCTGATTCACATTTCATCTATTTTTTGTAACTTTCAGTCATATTAACACCTCAAATCACAAATGTAATGTGCTTCATATATGCTCTACGTGTCTGACACTTGCCATTGGCAGCAATTTGGATTCAGAGTCTTGTTTAAGGACAGTTCAGCTGAAATTGTGACCACCAACCCTGCGATTAATACTTCACCAGCCAGAGTATTTGGTTTGATGTACAACAATCACCCTGTCTCTTGTTTCTCGTAGGAACACCTTGCGGGTGACGCACTCTGCAGCTCTGAGCTCTCAGGACGGCTCTGTGGGCGGCAGTGTGTATCTGGGGAAAAAAGGCAAGGACTTTGAGTTTGGCCAGCTGCCCCTGAAGGTTGAGTTCCTGGAGTGCAGCGCCCGCGGCAACAAGGGCGAGGAGGGGGATGCAGACATTGAGAGTCTGGAGAAGAGCTTGGCTAAACTGTAAAGTCAACAACTTCAACAACCTCAGATGACCATCCACCATCACTTCAGAAATCAAAGGAGCTGCGATATCCAGGTGGAGGATTTATTTGACAGAAATGTCGAATCAGCCCCATCTGGCTGGCTGTCGATGTAAAACTTAAAAGGTGGAACAACCTTTGAAGCATATTCAATCAAAAAACACCAAAAAGACTGAAAGTCATGCAAAGGAAATGATGTAGCAGTTATCAGGCCCTCTGCAGCGATGAGACATGATTGTGTGCTTATTCAGTGTAGAGCTTACTGTGATCCTCCTTCAAGTGCTTCATTTGGCTTGCTAGAAAAAATAGTGAATAGTTGAAAGCATTTAAGTGTTGTGTATTTGCTTTTGCTGCAATTTGAGGTACATTTACCACAAGCTGTCACAGGTTTTCACCATTTTTGTTTTAAACTTTGGATTTATAAACTGCCTTGTGATAACCGATGGGCATGAATTGGATTTATTCACTTGAGTTTTGTGCCTTCTTCAGGTAATCTTATAGAAAAGTGTTTTGCTGGTTAGCAAAGAAAATGACAGGTTACTTGTGTGAAAGTGTTGTGTGAATACAGTGCATTTGCAAGAAATGTTTGAATTTGTTTTTTGTGGTGTCTGGCTTGTTAAAAAAAACTAGTAGTTTGAAGTTGTTGTTTGATGAAATTTGAAATAGACAGATTAAGCACTTTTTCTTAAATAGTAGAAGGAGACAGTCTGTCTGGTGTTAAGGAGGTCTGTGTGATAATAAGCAGCAATCATGATATTATCAACACAAAGAACAACATCTTAATTGTACATTACATTATTAAAAACGGGGTTTAGCTGGGTGTCAGATCACAGGGTGCTGCTTTAGATTACTTTTGAAAACAGCTCCAGGTCCCAGTGAACAAGGTCACCACAAACCCCAAGAAAATATATACTGGGATTTTTTTTAATCCGTCTGGCACCTGGTTTGGATTGAGATGTTTTTACTCTACAAAAGCACCACAGACTGGTAAATATGCTACGTTCCTATTTTCTATGGTGTGGTCGTTTTACAGCTCACAAAAGGCATGTATTGCAAGATGTATTTCCAAGGATGACGGGTTTTTTTATAGGACCACACACACATGCAAAACAACAAACAAGCCAAATTCAATCAGTAAATATGGCATCAACTGAAACACAACAGTCTGTTGAATATTATGTAGAAACTCAAAGGAAACGGATTTGTTTGTTCCAGTGCTTTTTGGAACACCAGTGTTTGTTTTCTGCAAGATCCCACTTTTACAGTGACTATTTAAAATCCCGTCCAAATAGTGATGCAACAGGTTCATACATCATCAAACAGGAGTGTATACTCTGAGGTGTGTTAAGGCCAAATGCAAAGCAGCTTCTGCTCTGTACGATAACATACAAAGACTATCACCAAGAATAGGAAATAGAGGAAAAACTAATTGTTGCCGTTTGTGGGCACCCGAAGCTCTATAATACAATGCGACTAATGTTAGGGAGGGACGACACAACAGGTACACATGCCAGTGTGTACAGGCTGATGGTGGAATTAAATGTTTAAGTATATTTAGAGGTAAGCCTATTGGCTGTTAGGGCCAAATATTCTCAAAACGCAATGCAAAATCTGCTCCACATTTGTTCTGAGCACACCTTAAAGAGCTTCAAAGCTACAAACTTAAAACAAGGCAAGACAAGATATGAGCATGTTTTTAAGTTCATCTAAAGTGGAGACAGAGGGTAGACTGTCAGGCTGGTGCTCTGATCTGCCACCACCACACTGGGCTCTCCTTTCAGCACAACAGGGCACAGCCAGTTCACTTTGTCCCCGTGACTGATGCGAAGTTTGGGGCCAGACTTCTCCTCCGTCACCTCTTCTGCACATGCTGCCTCTTCCTCTTCTTCTTCTTTCTCTGCTTCAACCTTTGGTGGGGATTTGGCTTTATTCTGGGATTGTTCTTTCCTCTTTGCTTTGCTCTTACTCTTCCTGCGTGGGGCAGCGGTGACTCCAGCCTTTGCCTCTGGAGTCACCACTGGGTGCTTACTGAGGTCCCACAGGGCGACCAGGCCGTCATTTCCCCCGGTGAGGAGCCAGTGAGGGTGGGAAAGGAAACTAACAAAGTGGGCTTGTGAGGCCCCCTGACTGTGAGCCTTGACTGCTCCCTGCTGTTCCAGTTTGGAGCCGCTGCCGATCCGAATCACATGCACCCGCCCGTCCTCTGCCGCACAACCCAGAATGTTCCCACAACTCGCCACAGAGACACAGTGGACCAGAGGCGGGTTAAAAAGCTGCCCAGGACGCTGCTGATCGTCCCCTTCTTCCTCTGCCACATCCTGGAGGTTCACGGTCCAAAGAGGGCGCGTCTTTTGCAGACCCCACAGCATCACCTTAAGGCACAAGAAAGGTAAAACTGATCCGGAGTTGCAACTATTTTATTATTCAATGAATAGAAAATTAACTGCCAACTATTCTTAAAATCAAACATAAAAGTACTTTTCCATGTAAAAATTAAGCTTATTAAATCTGGAAATTCCCTGCTGTTTCTTTGAGTTAATATATTTGGGTTTAGGGCTGACTAAAAATAATTAAAGACCTAATTTTGGACTTTAAGAAACTGGGAAGGGCATTTCTCAGTTTGTCTGACATTTTATAGACCATTAATGGAGAAAATAATGGTAGTAAAAGCCCTAGTTGTAAAATGTAGTACATGACACAATTACAAATGGTCCTCTCTCTTACCTGCATGTCGAGTCCAGCAGAAATTAGGTTGTTGGGCCGGTGTGGCCGAAAAGCAACAGAGGAGCAAATGTTAGTGTGTCTACGAAGAGTCCTGCACACTTTTCCTCCAGGAAGCTCCAGTACCCGGACCGCCCCGGAGTCATCAGCCACTGCCAGGGCTGACCCGGTCTCATTGAGGGACAAAGCATTGATCTCCTCCTCCCCTGCACCCTGAAACTCCTCAACAGGGCCCTTCAGGTTTCGGGGATCCAGTAAACTCACTGCGTCTCCATGTGACACGTACAGCTGTCCGGGAGCTGCATGAGAAAACACAACACTGGTGCTGTCCTCTCCACCAGGGAGAGTGAGACGGCCTATGATGGTTCCCTCTTGGCTCCACAATGTGACCTCTCCACCCTCTGAGCCTGAGGCGAGGAGACCCTCGGGGCCTGAAGACGCCCCGACACACAGGATGGATGTGGAGTGGCCCTCAGACCACTGCCCGGCCATGCTGACCCTGCAGAAAGTGAGGAGAAATAATATACATTTGTGGTGTTGCTCTGACATACCTGTTGTATGGCAAAACCTCAAAGCAGCAGTAAAGATGATCTAAATAATGATGACTCACCAGCAACTTTGATAGTCAATTAATAGCTCTTTGTTTTTCAGGCAATGGTGAGAAACGTTTATCTTATTTACAAATATCAGATCTTTTCAAATATCAGATCTTTTCAATTGCCTCCATAGAAGCAGAACTATATAACTATACTGGACACATCTCTTTTATAAAGTTTGTTGGTACAATACTGAATGTACTCTATTAAGGACAGAGTTACACATGAAAACGAAGGCCCAAGTGTATAACTGTATATTGCAGGATGTATGATTACCTAGAAGAGCATCATGACACACTGTTATGGGCATATGATAAGCTATGTGACAACGATTAACATGATGATTCAGCCTCTAGGTAGATAGACATATTTCGAGCATGATCATTTCTGACGTGGGCCTTAGTTAATCTGAAGAAATCAATACTGCTTTGACTGAAAAACACCCTCTCTTGTATAAGCAAGTGAAGGACACTGTTCGGGAAAAATAATTGTACCGTATGCTCTGTATGTGATGACTACTTCCATTCTTGCAAGGATAATAAATACCCTAAATAATCAAATATGTATCCTGTTTTGAAACTCAAGCCGGTGACGAGTGAGAGTTTTACAACATAACTAGAGTTGTTTTCTATTTAATTTAAAAAGGGAACAATTCTGCCTTTGGTTGCTAAGTTAAATTTATTTTTCAATAGCTTCAATGTCATGGGACCCATTGAATCTAAATCCACACCAGATATCATGACTACAGTGGGCAAATAAGACGCAACAATTAGGCTTCTTCTATTTTATTTGAATATTATAATGCTGAGTAATATGACCGGATTTCATGTCTGTCAAATGTCTAACCTAAAACTAAACTAGCTACTATGTGTCTATAATGTTTCATAAGACTTATGTCTCATAAGAGGGAGAAACATCATCAAAGACAGACTGATGTTTGAAAGCAATAGAAGTGCGAAATAGCCGCAAACACAAAAAGGAAATGTCAAACCAGAAGAAAATTAACAGCTATGCTAATGTGTTAGCCTTAAAGCTAACTCCCCGATCAGCTGGCGGTTTGGCTGAAGTGACATTGTTATTCCGCTGATTGAAGATAATTTGTGAAACAATAACGCTGTTAAAATGCATTGATAAGGTCAAGACAAAAATAAAATTATACTACCTTAGGAAACTGCTGTCAAAACTTCAGCAGACTACCATGTGGGGTCCGGTCGCTCATTGATGACATCACATAGTTGTATACAGTTCTATGTTGTTGTAAATGCTGATTACCTAAAACATGTTTTCACCAGGAATCGCTGACACCACAAAATCTAATTAACTTTATGTAAAAAATCTATTTAACAACATGTATGTATTACTTTTATTCCTTGTAGTTTTATTATTTGAGCTATTTTAGTGTTTCACCCTTTACTCACATCAGTGTACAGTCTATGGTGGATGTTGATGCTAGTGCAAAACTGAGCAAAGGCTGACTGAAAGGAATATTCAGGGAAAGTTATCTCAATTACATTTCTATAAAAAAAATAACTTGCAATTATATGTGTACACTACATTGTCTCAGTTGTGAAATATAAACCAACAGTAAAGCAGAACTTGCTACACATGCTGCAGAAAATGAAAATCACACAGGACTCAGAGGAGGCAGAACATCAGATCATTGTTCAGCAGACCTTCATTTCCACAATGGCTGTTACCTGCTGAATCATCTAAAGCTGTAGATGTGATGAGTGTGGTCCATTTCTAGGTCAGCGAACAGTGTGCCATACTGAATAGGGAACAGAGAGGAGAGGCCATGGTTCACACACGCACACACACACACACACACACACACACACACACACACACACACACACACACACACACACACACACACACACACACACACACACACACACATTCAATGCTGACACAACCTGTATATTGTCACAGAGGACCAGCGGTTCTCACAGAGCGTTTTGAATGTAAGTATGGAGATATTTACCTTTTTCTGGTAATGACCTGCACATTAGATGCTATCTTCTCTTTTTGTGTAATTTCTACCTCAACTACGTAGGACGGTTTCACTAAAGATGATATTGTTTTGAATGTGTAATTTATTTTCCTGTCGTCCAATTAAAGATAGTATTTCTATTTAGCACTCCTATTCACCTATGGCTCTCCCTGTTTACAGTTAGAATTGTATAGAAAACAATAAAGGTAATATTCACTTTCTTTTTTACATGATAGACATATTTTTCTTTCTTAATTTTTGTATCTTTGTTAAGCTCCTTCTCAGAGGATTTGGAGTTCTCTTTACATTTCCTGAGCACTGGAGAGCATGAGGTCGCCCTATTTTCCAGCGAGGTCGGTGCTTTTCCACAAGGAGCCCAACGGAGTGACGTACAGAGTGCCAGCGCTGCTCTACTTGTCTCGCTCCAGGACCTTCATGGCCTTCTGTGAGGAGAGACTCAGCCCGTCCGACTCTCAGGCTCACCTGCTGGTCCTCAGGAAAGGCACTTTCTACAGGAACTATGTGGAGGTAGATACTGTAGAGCCCTTCAGATTTGAGAGCTTTACTATATCCTATGGTTATAGTGAAGCAATTCTCTACTTGAGTAACAGTATTATGTGGTTTCTTCAAAATGTTCACCACAGAATTCCATTTCCTGTCTTAAATTTCCTAAGTACATAAATACACAAAGAGGTAAATTACAACACCTTTTTTTATGTAGAAGACACCTTGAAACTACCTTGTTTCTCAGGCATTTTACCAGGTAAAATGTAATATTTTTATATTTGTATACTCTTCCTATCTAATATTATAACCTCCCTCCTTTCTTGCTGCAGTGGGATGACTTTCGTGTCCTGGGCACTGCTTTCCTGCCAGGCCATCGCTCCATGAACCCGTGCCCGGTGTACGATGAGTTCACAGGAACTCTCTTCTTGTTCTTCATCGCTGTCCTGGGCCACACCTCGGAGTCTTATCAGCTGGTGTCGGGGAGGAATGTTACTCGTCTCTGTTACGTCTGCAGCACCGACCAAGGAGACACCTGGAGTCCTGTCACCGACCTCACCAAGAGTGTCATAGGAGATACTATCAAAGGTTAGGGCTTCATTACTGTTTTATCTTTTTTATTTGTTTTATGTCCTATATATATTCATGTTATACTGTTGGAGGGGCCTGTGAATTAAGATTGCCATATCTACTCTGTAGCTAATGTGCATATGATAATAAAGCCTTGAAATGAAGGAAAGATCCACCCTTTAACAGACTTAACATATTATTTTCTGATTATTTAAAACTCAGAAAGCTGTCTTTTTCTATGCAAAATGATTTTAAACATTGATCTCAGAAGAGTTTTCTGATTCTTCTGCATTCTCCTGTATCTGTGGTGATGAGAAGATGTATAAAGTCTATGCGGTTCCAGATTGTTTGACAAATTGTCAGCATAATTTGGGGCTGAAAACTAAAAATATGAAAAAGAAACAAAGCGTATGGGTACTCAGTGAAAAGTCAGCTTACCAGATGAGTGTAGGCGAGCATCTCAGGGTTATCAATTAAACTGCTCAGAAAGTGGGGGATGTGCAACGGTGTGCAAACTGAACTTGTTAAAAGATCGTTTTAAACTTTTTCAAGTCTTTCTAAAAGAAAAAAACTCTCGCTCATTATGTACTCTGAGTTTCATTTTTAGACAAACTTGACCAAATGGGAACACAAAGTGTCAGTGTCAGGCATCAGCCCCCTCATGCATCCCCTGCTTCTCACTTCCTGCTCCCTCCCTGCAGAATGGGCCACTTTTGCTCTCGGCCCGGGCCACGGCATCCAGCTGAAATCGGGCCGTCTGCTGATACCTGCCTACGCTTACCACATTGAGTGCAAAGAGTGCTTCGGACAGCTGTGTCAGACCACTCCCCGCGCCTTCTGCTTCCACAGTGACACCCACGGGCGGACCTGGAATTTCGGGGAGGCGGTGCCAGTGCCCGAGAGCGTGGAGTGTCAGATGGTGTCTGTGGATGAGGAGGACGGGACTAACGTGCTGTACTGTAACGCCCGCAGCCCTCTGGGATACCGGGTGCAGGCCCTCAGTCTGGACGATGGAGCCGTGTTTCAGGAGGGGCAGCTGGTGCAGCGGCTGGTGGAGCCTCGAAACGGTTGTCATGGAAGCATTGTGGGATTTCCTGCTCCGTTACATTTATGTACTTCTCTTGACAGTAATTTGCATCAACCTACAAGTCCCTCCAGACACTGGACTTCCTCAAACGTTTCCACCTCTGTTCCCAACCCTAGCCCCAGTCCTCCAGATTTCCTCACCCCCACCTGGGTAGTATACTCCCACCCGACATGGACCTCCGCACGCAGGGATCTAGGCATCTTCCTCAGCCTGTTCCCCCGTGATCCAGACAGTTGGCGGGGCCCCTGGGTGATCTACGAGGGCCCCAGTGCTTACTCCGACCTGGCTTATCTTGAGTTGTCCCCCTCACCCGGGGCCCTGCCTGTTGTGGCCTTCGCCTGCCTGTTTGAGTGCGGCACAAAAACAGCCTACGATGACATCTGCTTCAGCATCTTCACCCTCTACGAGCTTATCGATAATCTGCCCCGGGAGGCGCAGCTGGGAAATATCGGTCATGAATGTAGAAGAAGGCAGAATGAAGTTCCAGAGACAGATTGTACAAGTGGACATGGCGCTCAAAGTCCTGCAGTTTTCCATGAGGAGCCTGGAGTAAAGAAGAGAAGGAAGAAGTTGACTGAGAGGTGCTCTGTGTCTTGAATGTAGTTTTTGACCTTGTAACATAGAGTTTAAGTGTCTTCCAATGATGTTTTTTATATACACACTCTTTGAAATGTGCCAATTCCCTCAAATTCAAGAACCCAACTAAGCATAGTTGGAGACACGCTTTATTGTTATATCTAAAACGAGATTTCTATAATACAATGTCTATTTATGTCTACAGTACCTAGAATTTCAAGACATTAAATGACAACTGTTCTGCTACAAAGTCTACTTTTATTATTATTCTTTATTATTCTTTGAGCTATTTTATTGAATTGCAGTAGATCATAGAGGTTTACCCTATTATGTGGTTACTGTTGGGGAAATATTTTCCAAGGCCCATAACTTTGACCCAGTTGATCAGTTCTGTCCTGACTGAGCACACGCACCTGTAACCTTGGCTGCTGTGCTCTCAGTGTTTTGTCTCCCTGTTCCTGCCTGTTGGCGTCAGCTGATAGAGGTGTTATGATTTTATCTTGTTATGCAGCATGTTGATTATTCTCTCTGAACCAGCTAAATGCATGGGTCTGGGGGTAGAGTTCTTCAGAATTGACGTGGCAACTCTACCGTGAAGTCAGAACCTCTGACTCTTTGACTTGTTTTGTGAATTCTCTGGCCGAAGCTCCTAAATAAACCATCAGTGTTTGACATCAAAGCTCCAGCTCTCCCCGTGTCTCCTTCCTGAGTCGGTGACTCCTCCTGCATTGCTACACAGAAGTTTCCCCTACAGTTATTGAGTGTATGTACATATTATGCACAGAGCATTAACTGCACCTCAGTGCAACCGG